CTTTTCAAATGAAGATTTAAATCATATATATAAATGGTTAAACAATAATAGTTTAAGTGCGAATGTAAATAAAACTATACTAAGTGACATATAAATCCGAACACCCAGTTTAAATGGTTTTATTTTAATAAAATTTTGTATAAGTACTTAATGAAGCATAATAAGTAAATGATAAAAATTTCAAAATGATTGCACTGCTTTAAAGCCCTTTGACCTTTAATAATGTGTGGATGCACCCTGATGTGCTACGCATTCTCCAACGCGCCTAGGCATGCTTCTGATCAGGTGGTCAATGTCCTCCTGTGGTATCTCATTCCAGGCTACCACCAACTCCTCTCGAAGTGCTTCTAGAGTCTGAGGAGCACGTTGCAAATTGAGCAATCTCCTACCCATCATATCCCACACGTGCTCAATTGGGGATAAGATGGGAGATCTTGGTGGCCATGGTAACAATGTGACATCATTATGTTGAAAGAAGTCTATTGTGACTCTTGCAACATGTGGTCGGGCATTATCTTGTTGGAAAGTTGGATCTGCCAGGGTGTCAAGATAAGGTAAAAGATGGGGTTCTACAACTTTGTGGATATAACGCTGCGCGTTCATGTTACCTCTAATGAAGATTAACGGTGACCTGGAACCATAAGCTATACCACCCCAAACCATAACTCCAACAGTGTGATGAACATGTCTTTCAACAAAAAACTGTGGACTTCTCCTTTCACCACGTCGCCTTCTAACCCTGGCACGACCATCGTGCATGCCTAAACAAAATCGAGACTCGTCACTAAAGACAATACTGTTCCATTCCTGATCCCAGAGTGACCGTTGTCTGCACCACTCAAGGCGGTTACGTCGGTGTTCTCGAGTTAAAGGGAGGACCCAGTGTGGCCGGTATGAAAACAAGCCAAAACTTCTCATTCGTCGGTAAACACTTCGCATGCCAATAGATCTTCCGTGTTCTGCAAACCATTCATTTGCAATGGACCTGATAGTGGAGAAACGGTCCCTTAAGGCCAATAATCTTAGGCGGCGATATTCACGGTCTGTTGTTCTACGGCGGCGTCCAGTGCCCCTTGCTCTTTGCGTACGGCCTTCTTGAAGCCATGCCTGACAACACCTAACCACAGTGTATACACTTCTTTGCACTCTAGCTGCAATTGCCCGAAAAGAAAGTCCAGCTTCCCGAAGTCCCACTATACGGCCCCTATCAAACTCACTAAGTTGACGAAATCGCACAGGTCTCCGTACTCTAGGCATCGTAACCGATCGTAAAGGATTTTTAGAGCGTTAGTGAATTAAAAAAAAGCAGTATAAAAACCGGAATGTCCAACTGATAAGGCTGAAAATTTGTTCACTTGTTATTTACAGTAAGATAAATACATTCACCAACTTTTATTAAAATAAAACCATTTAAACTGGGTGTTCGGATTTATATGTCACTTAGTATGAATGTATGATATTGAAATCTAAGCATAATGTAACTAACACATACAATAACAAAGGTATAGTAATTAATGGTAGTAGACTAGATCAAGTTGATGAATGTAAATATTTAGGAATAATTATAGATGAAAATTTAACGTCTTCAAAACATGCAATTTATATAACCAAAAAGCTATCAAAGAAAGTGAATTTATTATGTAGAATGGGGAAAGACCTGAGTGTCTGGGCTAAATTAATTATATACAGGTATAAGACGATAATACTACCACATTTCAGTTACTGTGCAACAATCTTGTATATGTTTAAGAAAGGTGATATTGATATTATTCAAAAAAAAACAAAACCAGGCATTGAGAAGTATTTTGGGATGGGGAAGATACGGTAGAATTAAAGACATGCTGACATCTACAAATTTATTATGTGTAAGCCAGGAGATCTTTTATAACACTATGGTGGTAGTATACAAAATAAGGAATGGACTGTACCCAGAGCATATTATTAATAAATTAAAAATGGTCAGCGATATACATAGTTATAATGTTAGATCTAATTCCAACTTTTACGTGTCTCGGGTACAATCTTGGTGGTAGTATACAAAAGAAGGAATGGAATGTACCCAGAGCATATTATTAATAGATTAAAAATGGTCAGCGATATACATAGTTATAATGTTAGATCTAATTCCAACTTTTACGTGTCTCGGGTACAATCTTCCTTTGCCCAAAACAGCTTATTTTATAAGGGCCTTGTAGATTTTAATAGGATTCCAGAAGAAATTAAAACTACAAATTTTGTTAACTTCAAAAGGCATTTAAAAAAATATGTAATAGAAAATTGTAGTTTATAAGCTTATATCCAAATGTTTTGTCTGTTAGCACATTGCCATGAAAAAAAAATAAAGATCAAAAGATCACCGTCGCTATTGTCGAAGCTCTACTATAAAATACATATCAAGAGATAAAATTTGCGTTGCTTTTGTCGCTGCTCTTCGAAGCTCCAACATAAACGCATCCTTAGTAGACAATTCGTTCGTCCTTATCGAAGCTATGTTCAGACAAGTAATTTAGTGCCTCAAACTACACCACACCATGCTGTACGCGACTGCTAACAGCAATTACGCTAAGTTAATACGGAAGTTCGCTTCGGGTACCTGTGGAAGCTGACGCGTGCAAGTTTCGTCGCCATTCGCAATCGACTGGCGTCCATGTAATTTGCTTGAAAGCCCGCCAGCAGATCGCTCGTGGGGCTTCGCAGCTGGAGATGCCATCATGGCAATCAACTGCTCTCAGAGAATAACTCTCCGTCCCTCCCATGGAGATACTTTCTGCCCCCGACACAATGCCAGGCTACACTATTGCTTGCTATGCGGGTTATTTCATTACCTACTTGTCTGAAAGCATACGCCACATGGCTACTCTGACTGCTGGCGGAAATTTTTCCTGACAGCTCTTTACACCCACTGAAGCAATGGTTGCTTGAAATCTGTAGACAATGCTTCGAAGTATTGTTTACAGAATTTGCGATTCACGACGTTTGATAATCGTTGCTTAATATTGATGGAAACGTTCCATAGTCGCAATTTTTTTCTACGCATTTTTTCAGACGTGAAATCCACTTTTGCACTCCCGTCTCAAGGAAGTCCGCTGCAGCCCGTTTAGAAACTTGGTAACTGCTGCTTGCACCTCCTCGGCCGTCTCGAACAGTTGACCACCTAGCTGCTCCTTCAATTTCGGAAACGATACGTCGAGGCCGCAAGGGGATAGGCAATTACTTCCCAACCAAATAATAATAATAATAATAATAATAATAATAATAATAATAATAATAATAATAATAGACGTCTTTATTTATCCACAATTACATTGTAGTATAGCCAAATGTCAGACTTATATGGCGAAGTTTAGCATGCTGCTACTCACACTTAACCATATAGTCTCTAGCAGATGTTCAAAAGAATACACTATCCACAAACAGATTTGGTTCATAACATCGAAAGTAAAATTTGAAAAAAGGGAAAAAGGCATACTTTCCAAACCCAAATGCACCAAAAAATTATTAATCTGAATTAAAGATGGAATAAAAAAGAAAAGAATGATTACGTAATTTATATGTTTGGAGGGTTGAGTAATAATGTTTTAACTTTTTGTCGAAAGACAGGTAATGAAAATTCTTTATATGCTTCAGGAAGGTCATTATAAATAATAGCAACATTGTAAGAAAAACTACGTTTAAAAAGTGTAGACGTATGCAGGGGTATTCTAATATTATTTTCTCTGAGAGTTCTACGGTGAACATCATTATTAAATGAAATTTTTTCCTTCAAGTAATAAGATTTAGACGTGAGCAGCAATTTGTGAACAAAAACTGAATAGTGATACTTGACCATGTCATTAATTTTTAACCAGTTTAGAACGGGATATTTCGCTGATACATGATCAAATTTACGTAAGCCAAAAATGAATCGTATAGAATTGTTTTGAATAACTTGAATAACGTTTTTAGTGAAATTGTCTAAACAAGTATAGATATTACAATAATTTAGTATAGATATGACCAATGCTTCACATAGTTTTTTAAACTTAAAATTTAGTAAATACCTGTTTGCTATAAGAGTGCGCAGCCGTAGGTAGGTTTTCTGAGATAGACTTTTAACATGTTCAATAAACCTTAATTTTGTATCAAAAACAACACCAAGAATTTTTGCAGAATCAGAAAATTGCAAAATTTGGTTATTTATCTGAATGTTCAAGAATTGTGTTACATTGTATGTTTTTCTTTATGCGCAAAATAATAACATTTTAGATTTTTGTGGATTAATAAGTAGATGGTGATCTAAAGAGTATTTAATTAATTTATTAACATCGTTTTGTAAAATTTGTGTAGTATTATTGACATATCCTGTGTTTTATTGTGGTGTAACACCTTCTTTTATCGTCGTGTCTGTTTTTGCTTACTATAGTGGGTTATTTTTGAGAGGCAATTTTCAAATTTGAACCAGTGCTGCATCTACATGTGAGCAATTTTTATAAATTATACGCTGAAAAACTGCAACTCAGAAACACTGATTTTGAGGATTAATTACAAAACGCAAATAAGTACACAAAAAACAGCACGAGAAAAATCGACAAAAACGACCAGTGAGTATATTCCTAATCACCATATATTTACGAAAGACAAGATAATAAATAAGAAAACAAACAGGCCCGTATCCGGTTGAAAATGGTAGCTAGGTTCAAATGTTGCAAAACAAAAGAAGCTCTTTCTTATTTTTGCATATCATGCCAAGCAATTTTTCACGCGAGTTGTGCAAATAGATTGAGTTCAATTGTAAAGCTCTCAAGCTGCCTGTGAATCGGAGGATAACGAGCATCGAAACTACGATTCTTACACTACAGAAATTAACTCATTAAAGGACGAGATACAAGATAAAGAGAAACATATAATTAGATTAATGAAGAAGGCCAAGGATTTTTGAAGAAGATGTTTTTGAATCTGAACAAAGTTTCATAGAGGAGCAAAATTCTTTTAAAGACCAACTGAAAAACCAAAAAGAAAGAATGTGTACACTACAAAAAGGAATAGTCGACGCAGAGGAGAAGAACAAAAACCTTCAGAAACAGATGGACAGTATGAACAAATTTTCAAAAGACATGCAAACAGAGATGACGAAGCTAAAAAATATTCATGCCGATATGCTGAAAACCATTAGTCTTTTGGAAGAAACAAACAATGCATACTCAAGGAAAATAGGCGAATTAGAAGAAAGAGCAAAAGAAGACAGGTGTCGATTGTCGGAGAACACTGAAGGAAATGCCAACGATCAACAGAATGTATTAGACACTAGGGATAAACAGCTGAGGACGACTGAGGAAAATGTATCTTTGTATGATGAACTTTTTAAACAATCCAGGACAGTGCGAAGACTTCCAAGAATCTGCTCATTGTGGGCAATCAATTGGCCAGAAACTGCGCTAGAGTCTTACATAATTCAATGAAGAGCATAGGCTATATAGTTGAAGGAATTGTTAAGCCCAACACAGAGGCTGCAAATATCACAAGTAATATTTTCACTCAAACTATGGATTATGGACAAGGTGACTATGTAATTATTGTTTTCAGCACAAAAAACATAAGCAACCACAAAACATTGAACAGTTTTCTTAGAAATGTATTTCCACTGGGTAAATTTACAAATCTGGTAATTCTTCTAATGTCCGAGCCTGTAGATGAAGCCTTAGCAGTTCTATTGGAAAACAAAATAACTAGTTATATTAAAAATAACCCCAACGGTTCAGTGAAGTTTTTAGTATTAAAAAATGGTTTTCGCAAATCACTGGTAAACATCATAAGAAGTCATGTGCAGACGAGCTGCTCTACCCTCAAAAGAAACGTTTTGTTATCGCCTCCAATAATTCCAATTTATAAAATGGAACGTCAAGTGCATTGCAACAGTGATAATCCTGGTGATTTTTTACTGGCCAGTGGGAATCCGATACTAATCACCTAGTACGACATGATTCGGGTAAACAGAATGTATCGAAAAATTCCTTATCACACGCTCGCGTCTGTGAAGTGCGCACGAATGATTGTCGGTATAAACTTTTACATTTAAACGTACAGTGTTTGAGAAACAAAGTTGATGAACTTGAGTTGGTGGCAAAACAGCACAGTTATGACTTTCTTTGTTTGAATGAGCATTGGTTGACTTGCGATGAGATTAATACTCTGAATATTTGTGAATATATGAATGTGTCTAGTTTTTGCAGGTCAAGCAAAATCCACGGTGGTGTTTGTATTTATGTCAATAATAAGTTTAGTGCTAAGCCTTTGTGTGACAAAGTTTTAAACATTTCTGAGGAGTTACACTTCGAGGTTGCTGGTGTCACCTGTTTGGATGGCACACAAATTCTAACCATATATAGATCACCAAATGGAGACTTCAATATATTCTGTAATAAGCTTCAAATACTACTTAGTACTTTAGACTATAAGCAAAATATAATCATATCTGGTGATTTTAATTTTAAATTTAACACTCACGACAAGCATGCCAATGTGATGTGTGATATTTGTGTTTCTTTTGGACTGTATCAGACTGTGAATGTGAATACTAGGCAGAATGCTTGTCTAGATAATATTTTCACCAATATAAACATGTCAAGCATAGTTGTAGAAGCCATTGATACATGTTTTTCTGACCATTTAGGTATTGCATTTATAATAATAATAATAATAATAATAAATGGCCTTTATTCGTCACACGATTACAAAATAATTGATTTAAAAGGAACAGTGACGAAAAGGTGGAGTGTCAGCTTATGCTGTTTTTCAACCCGACCTGGAAAACATTGACACAAACTATAGAGAGAGAGAGAAAAAAAACTTAGAATATAACACTTATCAGAGAAAGGAAACAATCAATTACCTGTGGATATGCATAAAGTAAAATTTTAGCCATCCGACTGCTTTAAACTCATCTTTAACCTTTTTTTAAAATTGCTTAGGCTATATTCTTTATACTCACTTGATAAGCAGTTATATAGTTTGGGTGCCCAGTACGAGAAACTGCGTGTGAACAATGCTGTCGAATGCCGCGGGATAAGTAAGATGAGTTTATTCCTAGAGGATCTTTGATCGTACTGGCAGAGGAGGCTTAGTTTTGTATAAAGATAATATGGCGCTTTAAGGATAAGGGTCTTATGTACCAAAGATAGGCAATGCAGTTTCCTCAATTTGTTCATCTTAAACCATACCGATTGGTCAAAAGCGCTACTAATATGATCAAATTTACGGATTCCATAAGAAAATCTGATGCATGAGTTTTGTATCATCTGAATCCGCTCGGCATCACGTTGTAAAAGAGCAGGTCCATAAACAGAGTCACCGTAAGATAATTTTGACAGGATAAGGGACTCGCAGAGTTTAAGCTTGAGCTGTGTCGACAGGACACTTCGACTCGGGTATAACTGACGAAGCACATTATAGGACGCATTGCATAGTTGGTTAACATGTTTAGTGAAGCGTAGCTTGCAGTCAAACCAGATACCAAGCTTTTTGCATTCGTTTACGAAGGATATGTCTTCATTATTCACCATAATATTAATGCGATATTGATTTATTTCACGATTCTTTTTGGGCCCAAATAAAATGCAGCATGATTTGCCAGGATTTAGTTTTAGATTGTGAGCACTAGATATGTCAAAAATAGACTGCAGGTCTTGATTTATTTGATGTTGGCCAAGCATATATTCATCAGGATCGAAGCAGTTATAAAGTTGGGTATCATCGGCGTAATGATGAACGATTGAGTTGCTGGCGGTTTCATGAAAATCACATATATAAAGAGCAAATAAAAGGGGACTCAAAATAGATCCTTGAGGGACACCAAAATTTCTGAATAAAGAAGTTGATATATTGTTTTCATATATGACAGACTGTGAGCGATCAGTTAAAAAGCTCTTAATCAGCGTGCAAGCCGATGATGACAGGCCAAAGTATCTAAGCTTTTTACAGAGAATATTTGGGTCAACCGTATCGAAGGCCTTGCTAAAATCAAGAAGAACTAAGCAGGACAGCTTTCCTTGATCAACCGCGCTATAAATATTATCCGATATAGACAGGAGCGCAGTGGTGGTGCTATGTAATGGTCTGAAGCCAGATTGGGAGGTGGTCAGTAAATTATTTTGACAAACAAATGTGTGCAGCTGCTCATGTAGAGCCATTTCCAAAAGCTTAGATAAACTTGGTAAAATGCTTATAGGACGAAGATCAGAAAAACTTGAAGGATAATTAGATTTAGGCAGAGGGAGAACAAGAGCATTCTTCCAGGAAGAGGGATCAAGATTATTTGTTATACAAAAGTTAATAATCAAGGTAATATACTTGAGCAAATGCTTTTGTATTATACGGATCATATCAATTGTGATGCCATCTGAGCCTTTAGCATGACTTTTGATGCGATTAATAAATTTCTCTACAGTGGCAGGGGAAACTGTCGTGAACAGAAAAGTACCACTATTCTTGACGTTTTCATATTTGTCTAAAAGGTTCAATTGAGTTAATGATTTGGTTGTTTGAGGTACGTTTAAAAAAGCACTATTTAATGAATCGAGATCCTGAAGATGTGGAGGTAGACTTATGGAGTTATGTTTAACGATATTCAAAGATCTAAGTATATTCCATGTAGTCTTCGAATTTTTATGTCTCATAACATAATCGAGGTAGGCTTTTTTCTCTCGCCTAATAGCACTAGAAACATAATTTCTGATTTTCTTATAGAATTCCCAGGCAGCAATCGTTCCTGTACGTTTAAATTTTTTATATGCGTCACTTTTTGTTCGCATCATGAGTTTTATGTTGAATGTTCGCCAAGGAGCTGGTGGCTTGGTAACTCGAATGTTTCTGACAGGAGCATGCAAGTTGAAGGTGCACAAGATATTAGAGCTCAGGAAGTCAATCATTTGATCCACATCTCTCAACGTATATATAAAATCCCAGTTTATTAAAAGTAAATCATGGTAGAAATTGTCTAGGCTAAAGGTAGAGTAATCACGATATGTCCTCAGTTTACATAGGTTGCTTATCTCCGATGCATCTACATAAAATATTAGGGCTAGATGGTCAGATATTCCATCTACGTCAACAACTTCATAACCACTTATTATATCAGCAGAGCTAACCATGAGCAAGTCTATAGCTGTCTGGCTATTGGAAGTTAGACGTGTGGGCTCTTTAAAACTTTAAAACCTGTTAGGAAGAGAATAAACTACAGGCCTGTCACTGATGAAGGTCTTTTCAAGTTATACAGTAAAATTGAAACAGTCGACTGGATCTTTTTGTCTGATATTAGTTTACCACTGACCACTAAACTCGAACGATTCATGAACATCTTAACAAATAATGTCGCTGAGTGCTTGCCAATCAAATCTAGGTTAGTATCAGAGGGTTGTCGCAACAAAATCAACTGGTTTGATCACGAATTGGCTCAGATGAGAGAGACTTTGGAACTAATAACACAAATTAATAAAGATAATCCCCAAGTAGTATCAAAGAAGGAGAGATTAAAGTATTCAAATCAAAGTACCGATCAGAAATCAGAATTAGGAAAAAAAATGCTCATGATAAATATACAGGGTGTTCCATAATTATTGCGACAAAATGATAGGGGTTGTAGAGGGCATAAAAATATGCAATTTTGCCTTATAAACCCCTGTTCGTAAATATGCCGTTTGAGCACTACAGTTAATTTTACCTTAAGAGCTCATAGGAGAAACAAAAAATTCACCAGCTGCAAAATGTTCGTCTAGCACATTTCATGGTCTCGCCGGTTTGTAGAAAAAGCCTGCTGTGTTTACATTTTTGTTATCGTACACCCGTACCACCTTTTAAAAGTCCAAGCCATGGGTCCAGCAGACTATCTGCCGCGTCGACGTTTTTGTCGTTGGTGGCTGCAGCAGGAGTTGAGGCAACCAAACTTTGGTCGCTACGTTTTGTTCACTGACGAGTCCTGTTTTACAAAGGACGGTTATTTTAATAGCCGTAACAGTCACATTTGGGATGAAGAAAACCCTCATGCCATAGCCATCCATAGAGACCAACATCAGTTTTCAATTAACATCTGGTGCGGCATTGTGGACGAGCATATCATCGGGCCATATCTGCTTCCACCACGTTTGGATGGGCATGCTTATGGTCGATCCTTACAGCATGTGCTACCGGAACTATTAGAAAATGTGCCACTGAATATAAGAGCCAACATGTGGTTTCAACACCATGGCGGTCCAGCCCACTTTTCTTTACAAGTGCGGCAGTATTTGGACGACAAATTTCCAAATAGGTGGATAGGCCGAGGTGGCCCTGTGCCTTGGCCTGCGCGGTCACTTGACCTGACTCCACTGGATTATTTTATCTGGAGCTATCTGAAAGCTTTAGTGTACGAAACTCCTGTTCCCAACCAACAAGAGCTACTGGGAAGAGTGATGGCCGCGTCCGCACA